GTCATCAAAAGTGCCAATGGAAATGCTCAAAAAATTAAACAAATTGTCAGGATATTTCCACAGCTCACCAAACAAAATCAGCAGGATTGCTTCATGAATCTTATTGATAATGGGATCCATGCTGAATGTAATGAAGAAAGACAGCTGGTAGAGCTCTCAGTGCTCTCAGTGAAAATGGCATGCAACACATTAAATAAATAAAGTTTTTCAATGCATTGTGGGCATTTTATGCTGCAATTTCCTTCAAACAGTCCTGGCATTAGAGGGGTTTTTTTTAGACACTTTGGGGTTTGTTTACTAAAGCTGGAAAGTGCAAAATTAGACTCATATCTGCATAGAAACCAATCAGCTTCTAAGCTCAGCTTGTTCAGTAAAGTTTTGCAATAAAACCTGGAAGCTGATTGGTTTCTATGCAGAAGTGAGCCTGATTTTGCACTCTATAACTTTAGTATATAAACCCTTACATGTGTAAAAAAAATATATGTTGTACTATGTTGTAATATATGTCCTTTATAGTAGATCCTATTTAGCAATAAATCATGCAATCATGTATATTTACAATCCAACATATAATTACCCACCATTGATTACCTGTGTGCATATGTAATTGCATGATATCGTTCAGCTGAAGGCTAATTATAAACTATTTTTATGTAATATAGGTATTATCAACAAATGACAAAAGAGAATCTAAATTAATCTAAACGTATTCATAATTCAAATTTACTGCTACCTGCTACCAAGTACCATCAAATCATAAGGATGATTTAGTTGCGATAAGAAGAGAGAAACAAGGATTCCTAAGCAAGAGTTATAGCTGGCTCCTAGGGCTCTGGTCATGTGAGTGGATATTAACATTATGGTTGTGTATATTTTATATCATGTAAATTATTAAGTTGCTACATTTTGATCAGAAATGGTAATTATCTTTATAACTGTACCCATCACTTATTTTCTAATTCTTTACAATCTGGCACTTTTATATACTGTATAGGAGCTTTGAGTCAAGAATTATGAGACATTTATTGAGGACACAATAATTAAAGGTCATCACTATCAATTCTGAAAGAGGTTCTAAATAAACAAAGTCATGATTTCCATATTATTTAGGAAATAAGTTAGTTGACAAATATATACATCAGTAAATGCTAACTATGGCATTTGGGAAACTAACTAAAAAACTAAGCACCACTCTTAATTTTCCCTCATAAATAATGCATTTTAGAAAAATCTAAAGTATTCCTAGAGTAAAATATTTTTTGCATTTATCTTTAGATTTTATGTCTTTGAAGAACAGAGAATATGTTCTTTCAACAATGAGTCAATAGAGATCCTTTCATATCCAGACAGGTAAAAACTTAACCAGTGGAGTGAGTTATATACCATTGAATGTATGAATAAAAAAATAAACAGATTTTTTTGACGGAACACATTTGGAAAAGAAAATTATGCTCACAACAGTGATATTTCATAGATTGCTGGGAATTGCTTAAGCCTTTTTGCATTTGCATTTAAAAAGAAAATTGAAATAAGAGATTTTAAGAAAATAGAAAGTTAATTTCAATACACAGTAGAAAAAGAGAAGATGTATGAAAGATATTTTTAACTTTGATTTATGTTCTTGGCAAGCTGCCACAGATTAAATAGGACATCTGGATAAAAAACCGAGAAAGCTCAAGTGTCCTGGTTTCTATTCTTTATTTTAAAGTGATATGAACAATGCATAATGCTTTTATTTTCAAGTATTGTCACAAAGGGACAAAAACGTCAAACGAAAAAAAATATATAATGCTCATTGTTTTAACCCTACTGTTTCTGGTCTTATTAGTAATCAATTTAGATAGCAAGCAAAGAATCACAGAATATATTTTATTCCCAATCCTGCTCACATCACAGGTGGCTTGACAGAAGCCGTATATACATTGTATTGTACTACTTTTTTAACTATCTGGAGCATTCCATGGTGAGCTACCTTGTCACTTGAGTGAGCAAATTTAAACTAAACGCACACACTCAAAATGACAGGTCATAAATGTATGCAAGAAGTGCTCCTAAAGGATTAAAGAGACTGAGAAATTCACATGCTCATGTTTTATGTTGAAATAACACATTATATATATATATATATATATATATATATATATATATATATATAAAATATTCAGCATACTCAAATCCAAAAATAAAAATAAAAAAAAAAATTCTTAAGGATATGTGAGATGCTTCAGCACAACATTGAGTTTAGATGTTATACATAAATTATAGCAGGATATTTGTTCCAGAATTCTCTCAATATTTTCAGGGTAAAACAGCATAAATTGAGTGAGCGTAAACGTTGGCATGGCAGACCTAAAAATAAAAGATATATAAGTGTCCTTTTCTTAAACAGTAGTGACTAAGGAAACATTGGGGTTGATTTACTAAAGGAGTATTGGCTGTTCATTTAGTAGTGTAATGTACTCCACTCCTATAGTAAATCAAAATCATTGGCATGGAAATCAAACAAAATCTGTACACATGTAAAAGGGTGTAAGTCAAATATCATATTTTTCAGATGGGTAAGAGGTGCTTTGCCACAATACATGAAAACACATGTGCAGGTTTATGGGCTGCAGCTCCATTTATTCTTAATGTGTTACTAAACCTAGGACCCTGCATTCACTATATCTGGTCTCCCACAGTACACAAAACTTGGAAGTGCAATTATTTTAGTAAGTATAAATTGCTAAATACCTTTTCTCATCGGCAGTTAGAGCAGTCCAGATGAGCACCAGTTGAAGCTTGTAGGAGGAGTATTCTTTCTGCTCTAGGAGGATGAAGAACCCCTGACCTCTGTCTGGACAGTGCTGATTGGCCCTGTGCTGATTACATGCACTCTCCCAAGAAAAAAAAAAACCTCTCTAACAATACACTCTAAACTGAGCATATGAAGAGTGTCTCTACACGATATGTCTTATCGGGAGAAAAAGAGGGGGGCACTGGAAGAAGTGGAGGATCAGAAAAGACAGGATCAAACAGTATTTTTACACAATGCAGAGGATTAACCCCTTAGGTTCCACAGTGAGTATAACAAGCATGCTTTACTACATATACAGACTGATTTTACTGTTGTGGGTTTAGTAACATTTTAATGGCAACGCAATGCACTTTACCAACACACTGCTGTTGCAGTGCACCACAAGGCACAGTAAAGTTCCACCTAACGGACTGATACTGAATAAACCAGAGAACATTAAAAAAAAGATAGAAAGATTATTCTGAAAATGTGACGCTGAAGACAAACCAGGTATTCTAAAGGCAGACATCATAGTAAAAACTAAAGCTTTTCCAAACAATAAGTCACTAGGTATTGATGTTATCCCAATTGAGCTAATCAGAGGCTCCAAAGTTGCTATCACTGCCCTTACTCAGCTATGTCAATGGATTTGGAATGAAAAAACATGGTCAACTGACTGAAGATCACTGTTCATTCCTATATTGAAGAAAGGCGATACCAAAAATTGTAACAACTACAAAATGATTGCATTAATTCCACATGCTAGCAAAGTATTTCTGAAAATAATACAAAGAAGAATACAATCATACATTGCACAAGAACTACCTGAAACTCATTCTGGGTTCAGAGAGGGCCAAGAAACAAGAGACATGTTAGATGGATATTAGAGAAGAGCAAAGAATTCCAAAAGACAGTATACTTTTGCTTCATTGACTACAGCAAATCGTTTGATTGTGTAGATCATGCTAACTCATGGAGGACTCTGTTGCAAATGGGAATACCTAAACACATAACACAGTTAATAAGGAACCTACCTCTACAAATATGGTAGACTACACAAGAAATTACACTGTAAACATTTTTCTCAGTTATTAATTATGGTTGTGAAAGCTGGACACTACAGAAACAGGATAGAAAGAAGATCTACTCATTTGAGCTTTGGTACTGGAGAAGCAATTTATGTGTGCCATGGACAGCCCACAGAACTATTAGATTTATTTTGGAAGTGATCAAACTGAATATGTCACTAGAAGCCCAAATAATGACATTGTGAATGTCATATTTTGGTTGCACTGTCAAAAGAGAGAAATCGCTGAAGAAGGAAATAATGTTTGGGAGGATCAAAGGAACGAGGCAAATAGGGGGCAAAACTATTAGGTTGTTGAATACATTGGCTATAGTTGTGGAAATGACACTGGAGAATCTTGCCAGAATAGCACAAAGCCAATTTCTTTTTTTTTAGCTCTTATTCATCAAGTCTCTAGCAGGGACGGACTGACAACGTATGGGGCCCCCGGACAATAAGGGATCATGGGGCCCCTGTGTCCTTGCCCACACTCAAAGCACACCCAAAAAAAACCCTATAAAAGGTACCAGGGGCATTTCATGGGGCCCCTTACTGACCCCAGGCCCTCGGGCATTGCCAGAGTGCTCGAATGGTCAATCCGCCTGTCACGGACTGCTAGTGCCTCTCCCCATCCCCCGCCATATCCCTCCACCCCTCCTTTCCCCCTTGCACATTCCGAGGTCTGTGGGGCTTCCATGGACAGGGCTGGGCCGGCCGTTGCTGAGGCAACCTAGCCGCGTCCCACATGGTCTTCAAAAGACCCGCACAGGAAGCAGCCGTCCTCTCTCTGTTCCTGTCCATGCTGCTGGAATCATCTTGCCCCCAGAAAGATGCTGGGAGGCTCGCGTGAGGGGGACCGAGCCTCCCCAGCCATCCCCTCTGCAGACCCCCAAAAGGTCAGGACTGTAGCCCTCTGCAATACCCCAGGGTTGGGAGTCTCCACAGCTCTGCATGAGCCTTCTCCTCAAAGGTCAGACCCCACAGCTGAGCCCCTGCCCAGGGGTAGACTGCCGCCTGTTGCTCGAGGCTCCTGCCCAGTGGTAGGTTGCCGCCTGTTGCCCGAGGCCCCTGCCCAGTGGTAGGTTGCCGCCTGTTGCCCGAGTCCCCTGCCCAGTGGTAGGTTTCCGCCTGTTGCCCGAGGCCCCTGCCCAGTGGTAGGTTGCCACCTGTTGCCCGAGGGCCCCTGCCCAGTGGTATTTTGCCACCTGTTGCCCGAGACCCCTGCCCAGGGGTAGATTGCCGCCTGTTGCCCAAGATCCCTGCCCAGGGGTAGATTGCCGCCTGTTGCCCGAGGTCCCTGCCCAGTGGTAGGTTGCTGCCTGTTGCCCGAGTCTCCAATCTGCTGTCCCAGTCATGGAGGGAGCTCGGCTGAGGCCCCAAGCCTAGGGGGTAGATTGCCTGCCTGTCGCTGAAGACCCCCCCTTGCCTGGAATCGTCCCTGGTTTGCACACACATAACCCTCCCTGCCATTTCCCCATTGAGTGTCTGTCCTTTTGTTGCTTCAATAAAGCTTTGTGTGTTTCCCCATCTTCTCCGTGTGCTCTGTCCTGCCTGCGCTTCTGTTACACCGCCCCTGGTCTCTAGTACTCAAATATGAGTTGATGGCACTTAATAGTAATAAATGAGTAAGGATATTGGTCTGTTGTAGTTTGGTTTGGTAATAATATTGCCTGGCTTAGAAATTACTCTTATAGTAGCATCATACATATTAGCAGAGAAGTGTATTGTAACAAGTGTAGTATGAAATGTGTGTCCATTAGCGTCATAAGGAGTATTTTGTGGGATTTCCTATAAAGCTTGGCTGATAAGCCATCAGTCCCCAGAGCTTTATTGGTGAGCAGTTTGTTCATTGCTTCTGAAAGTTCTGTGAATGTTATAGAGGCAGCTAACATTGTGCAGTCTTTATGGCATAAGCTGAGGAAAGGAGTTTGGCTCTAAGATAAGAATATGAGTAGATGATGGCAATCATAATGAGTCTTGGAGGTTCTGTATGTAGTTGAGAATAAAATGCCTAGATATTGGAGATAGACACATGGGAGACCTCAGTGAGTATATATGATGTTGTAGTAGAGCTGGTGTGTGTGTATGTGTGTGATAGCAGTAAGGACTGCTGGGCACTATGATCTTTGAAACTGTTGGGGCACTGAAATTACTTATTGGTGGTATTGCTGGAGCACTGTGATTTCTAACACTTGGGTGAGCGAATCGAAGTATCCGAAGTGGAATTCGAGTCGAATATCTGAAAAATTTCGATTCGTGCCGAATCCGAAAAATAGCCTAATTCGGACGCGCGAATCGAAATTTTTCAGAAAATGGCGGCTGACATGTGCGGCGACGGAGCGGGGATGTCTGGGAAGGCGCGCAGACAAGGCGCGCTGACCCATAATGCATGCCTCAACTACATGTGATCGCATCAGCCTATCAGCAGCCAGCCAGCCAGCACTGTGTAATGGTCGAGCTATAAATAGCGGCCATTTTGGAATTCTTCATTTGCCTGCAGTTATTGAACAGAGGCAGACCGCTCTCTGTACTAGGGACAGGGACAGAGTTAGGGCCACAGAAACGATAATTGGGGACAGAGAAAAGTTACTTAGGGACAGAGAACCATTACTCAGGGACACAGACTTGTTAATGAGGGCCACAGAATCGTTATTTAGGGACAAAGAAACGCTAGTTAGGGCCACAGAATTCATAATCAGGGACAGACAGAATTGTTACTCAGTGCCAGAGAATTGTTACTTAGGGCCACAGAAACGTTATTAGGGCCACAGAATTGTTACTCAGGGACAGACAGAATTGTTACTGAGTGCCAGAGAATTGTTACTCAGGGACAGACAGAATTGTTACTGAGTGCCAGAGAATTGTTACTTAGGGCCACAGAAACTTTAATTAGGGCCACAGAATTTTTTACTCAGGGACAGACAGAATTGTTACTCAGTGCCAGAGAATTGTTACTCAGGGACAGACAGAATTGTTACTGAGTGCCAGAGAATTGTTACTCAGGGCCACAGAAACTTTACTTAGGGCCACAGAATTTTTACTCAGGGACAGACAGAATTGTTACTGAGTGCCAGAGAATTGTTACTCAGGGACAGACAGAATTGTTGTTACTGAGTGCCAGAGAATTGTTACTTAGTAGGGCCACAGAAACTTTTACTTAGGGCCACAGAATTGTTACTCGCACAGACACAGAATTGTTACTCGCACAGACACAGAATTGTTACTGAAGGCCACAGAACTGTTACTTAGGGCCACAGAATTGTTACTCGCACAGACACAGAATTGTTACTCGCACAGACACAGAAACTGTTACTGAGGGCCACAGAACTGTTACTTAGGGACAAAGAAACGCTTTACTTAGGCCACAGAAATTTTACTCAGGGACAGACAGAATTGTTACTCGAGTGCCAGAGAATTGTTACTCAGGGACAGACAGAATTGTTACGGAGTGCCAGAGAATTGTTACTCAGGGACAGACAGAATTGTTACTGAGTGCCAGAGAATTGTTACTTAGGGCCACAGAAACTTTAATTAGGGCCACAGAATTTTTTACTCAGGGACAGACAGAATTGTTACTGAGTGCCAGAGAATTGTTACTCAGGGACAGACAGAATTGTTACCGACTGGCCAGTGCCAGAGAATTGTTACTCAGGGACAGACTCAGAAGACTGTTACTGAGTGCCAGAGAATTGTTACTTAGGGCCACAGAAACTTTAATTAGGGCCACAGAATTTTTACTCAGGGACAGACAGAATTGTTACTGAGTGCCAGAGAATTGTTACTCAGGGACAGACAGAATTGTTACTGAGTGCCAGAAATTGTTACTCAGGGACAGACAGAATTGTTACTGAGTGCCAGAGAATTGTTACTTAGGGCCACAGAAAGAATTGTTACTTAGGGCCACAGAATTTTTTACTCAGGGACAGACAGAATTGTTACTGAGTGCCAGAGAATTGTTACTCAGGGACAGACAGAATTGTTACTGAGTGTGCCAGAGAATTGTTACTCAGGGACAGACAGAATTGTTACTGAGTGCCAGAGAATTGTTACTTAGGGCAGACAGAAACTTTAACTAGGGCCACAGAATTTTTACTCAGGGACAGACAGAATTGTTACTCAGTGCCAGAGAATTGTTACTCAGGGACAGACAGAAAATGTTACTGAGTGCCAGAGAATTGTTACTCAGGGACAGACAGAATTGTTACCGAGTGCCAGAGAATTGTTACTCAGGGACAGACAGAATTGTTACTGAGTGCCAGAGAATTGTTACTCAGGGCCACAGAAACTTTTACTTAGGGCCACAGAAATTTTTACTCAGGGACAGACAGACAGAATTGTTACTGAGTGCCAGAGAATTGTTACTCAGGGACAGACAGAATTGTTACTGAGTGCCAGAGAATTTGTTACTCAGGGACAGACAGAATTGTTACTGAGTGCCAGAGAATTGTTACTTAGGGCCCACAGAAACTGTTACTTAGGGCCACAGAATTTTACTCAGGGACAGACAGAATTGTTACTGAGTGCCAGAGAATTGTTACTCAGGGACAGACAGAATTTTTACTGAGTGCCAGAGAATTGTTACTTAGGGCCACAGAAACTTTTACTTAGGCCACAGAATTGTTACTCAGGGACAGACAGAATTGTTACTGAGTGCCAGAGAATTGTTACTCAGGGACAGACAGAATTGTTACTTAGAGTTTTTTACTCAGGGAAGACAGAATTGTTACTTGCCAGAGGTTACAGGGCACAGAAACTTGTAACTTTATTAGGGCCACAGAATTTTTACTCAGGGACAGACAGAATTGTTACTGAGTGCCAGAGAATTGTTACTCAGGGACAGACAGAATTGTTACTGAGTGCCAGAGAATTGTTACTCAGGGACAGACAGAATTGTTACTGAGTGCCAGAGAATTGTTACTTAGGGGGCCACAGAAACTTTACTACTTAGGAATTTTTACTCAGGGAATTGTTACTCAGGGCCAGACAGAATTGTTACTCAGGGAGTGCCAGAGAATTGTTACTTAGGGCCAGAGAATTGTTACTCAGGGGACAGACAGAATTGTTACTGAGTGCCAGAGAATTGTTACTTAGGGCCACAGAAAATTTTACTTAGGGCCACAGAATTTTTACTCAGGGACAGACAGAATTGTTACTGAGTGCCAGAGAATTGTTACTCAGGGACAGACAGAATTGTTACGGAGTGCCAGAGAATTGTTACTCAGGGACAGACAGAATTGTTACTGAGTGCCAGAGAATTGTTACTTAGGGCCACAGAAAACTTTACTTAGGGCCACAGAATTTTTACTCAGGGACAGACAGAATTGTTACTGAGTGCCAGAGAATTGTTACTCAGGGACAGACAGAATTGTTACTGAGTGCCAGAGAATTGTTACTCAGGGACAGACAGAAACTTGTTACTGAGTGCCAGAGAATTGTTACTTAGGGCCACAGAAACTTTTGTTAGAGGCCAGAGAATTTTTACTCAGGGACAGACAGAATTGTTACTGAGTGCCAGAGAATTGTTACTCAGGGACAGACAGAATTGTTACGAGTGCCAGAGAATTGTTACTCAGGGCCAGACAGAATTGTTACTGTGCCAGAGAATTGTTACTCAGGGCCACAGAGAATTGTTACTTAGGGCCAGAGAATTTTTACTCAGGGACAGACAGAATTGTTACTGAGTGCCAGAGAATTGTTACTCAGGGACAGACAGAATTGTTACTGAGTGCCAGAGAATTGTTACTCAGGGGGCCCAGAAACTTTACTTAGGGCCACAGAATTTTTACTCAGGGACAGACAGAATTGTTACTGAGTGCCAGAGAATTGTTACTCAGGGACAGACAGAAATTGTTACTGAGTGCCAGAGAATTTGTTACTCAGGCCACAGAGAAAATTTTACTTAGGGCCACAGAATTTTGTTACTCAGGGACAGACAGAATTGTTACTGAGTGCCAGAGAATTGTTACTCAGGGACAGACAGAGAATTGTTACTGAGTGCCAGAGAATTGTTACTCAGGGACAGACAGAATTGTTTACTGAGTGCCAGAGAATTGTTACTTAGGGCCACAGAAACTTTTACTTAGGGCCACAAAATTTTACTCAGGGACAGACAGAATTGTTACTGAGTGCCAGAGAATTGTTACTCAGGGACAGACAGAATTGTTACTGAGTGCCAGAGAATTGTTACTACTCAGGGACAGACAGAATTGTTTACTTACTGTGCCAGAGAGATTGATTGTTACTTAGGGCCACAGAAACTTTAATTAGGGCCACAGAATTTTTACTCGGGGACAGACAGAATTGTTACTGAGTGCCAGAGAATTGTTACTCAGGGACAGACAGAATTGTTACTGGAGTGCCAGAGAATTGTTACTCAGGGCCACAGAAACTTTACTTAGGGCCACAGAA